AAAAATCATTCTCAAACGCATCTGGGGCCATAACTCATCAACTCACAGTGATGCCCAATCAAACAAAAATACAGCGTTGAATTGGGACGACGTTTTACCAGAATCGCTCAACGAACTTTGGAACAAATTTCTGGTGGAATTGCCTGACATCGAGAAGATATCCATACCAAGATGGATCCAATTTGCGCCGAATCAAATTCAATCAATCGAGTTACATGCATTTTGTGACGGCGCAACATCAGCATATGCAGCAAATGTGTACATACGAATGCAGTACAGCAATGGATTGGTACACACGCATCTACTCATCGCCAAAAGCAAGGTAACTCCAACCAAACCATTAACCATTCCACGAATCGAATTGTGTGGAGCCGAACTTGCCACTCGATTAGCCGTGTGGGTAAAATCAAATCTTCAGATCTCAGTCGATCAAATTCCGATTTATTTTTGGTGTGACGCAACGGTTGTGTTACATTGGATTCATGGAGACATCTCACGTTGGAAAACGTACGTTGCAAATCGAATTAGTAAAATTTTATCGTCAACGTCACCCAAACAATGGAGCCATGTTGGCACTCACGATAATCCTGCCGATTGTGCCACACGTGGATTGACACCGGCACAGTTATCCAAGTTCGATTTGTGGTGGAAAGGACTGGAGTGGTTAGTCAAACCGAAAAAGGACTGGCCTACATTCAAACCGGGCATCATCAGCTTCACTGAGGATTTGGCAGAAGTAAAGTCATCAGAAATTCATGTTCATGTGAGCATTCAAACCGAATCGATTATGTTTCTGTATTCATCGTTATACAAATTGATTCGGGTCAACGCATGGATTCGTCGATTTCGTCACAATGCACTCAACAAGTTGAAACGAATGCAAGGAGAACTGACCGTAGCGGAAATTCAATCCAGTTTGTTCCAGTTGGTCCGTCTCGTGCAAGCTGAAGCATTCGGTAAGGAGATTAAATGTATTTCCAATAATGAACCTTTGCCCAAGAAATGTATAATTAGCGGATTAGCACCATTTTTGGATGAACAAAATATTGTCCGTGTACGGGGCAGATTGCAACGCTCCAATTTACCGTATCGTCAGCGCCATCCGATAATTTTGCCTCAAAGCCATCATTTCACAACATTAGTTATCGACGATTACCATATCAACAAATTTTATGGAGAAACGATTCGGGTGAGTTGCAAACATTTTGCCTAACAACCGTAACATTTGGAACAGCACCAGCCCCTGCGATTGCTATCTCGGTGATGCACCAGATTGCCAATGATGAGAAGGAGAATTTTCCGCTCGCCGAATCGATTCTAAAGCAAGAAATGTACGTCGACGATGTACAATCTGGCGGGCATTCGATCGAAAGTGCCTTAGCTAAACGAGGTATCCGGATAAAACGCAGAAAATAAAAACGCAGAAACGCCAAAACGCAGAGAAAAAAAACACAGAAAAAAAACGCAGAAAGACAAAACGCAGAAAGACAAAACACAGAAAGACAAAACGCAGAAAAAAAAACACAGAAAGACAAAACGCAGAAAAGACAAAACACAGAAAAATGAAAAATTTGATTTTTGACTAAAATATTGGGTAAATGAGGGTTCTTTTGGGTTATTTTTCCGAAATAATGGCATTTAATCTTGGCCAAAACCTCGAATAGTGTATTTTTCTGGTACCTCACATACAT